ATAGCATACGGGAACCTATTCCCGCGAACCAGCGTTCCCGGGCTTCAGCCGAAGCGGGAACCTTTGTCAAGTAAGGAAGCCCGAGGAAACCAAACTCTCAGGCTGAACTTAGCACTACGAGCTCCCGAGAAAGGCTTGCCTGAAAAGATCTTTTTCCAAAAGTCTTCTGAATCAAATAATCTGTCTAGAATCATCGCAGACAGCTGAGCCCACAATGGATGGGATCCGGCCGTGCCGCTATTACGAGCCTATGTTGAAAAGAAAGGTTTCAAAGGTAATGCGAGACCCGACGCCGTGAATTAGGCTTTCCTGAAGGTTCCTTCGTCAGCCTTTGCCTATTCGACTCTCCCATACACGAATACTAGTTAGACTGCTTCCCTAGAAGAAAGAAGAGTATAAAGCTGGTTCGGTTGGGAAACTCGATCTTAGAGACCGTGCTTATAAAGCTTGGTTTTCATTCCATTCGTTACGCGAACCCTGGTAGCACGAAGAAAGCTATCGGGTAAGCCTAAGATTGGCCGGTTCGGCGGAATTTAAGAATAAGTACACTCACTCCTCTGCTGGAGTCAAGCTGGATGGGAAAAAAAGAAGAAGAGTTAGCCGGGCATATTAGCATATTAAATAATTAATAAATAATTAAATAGTATTAATAGCAGGAAAAGCCCTATAGCATGGAAGGCTATTTCTCAGCAAAAATCCAAAGGTGCTTTCGCGAAAGCCTAAGCCTGTCAACGTCAACCCAGGCTACGCAGGGTTTCTTTCCCAGGGCCGGGTACTACTCCTTACTCGATAGAGGGATGCCCATATATGTATATGGAGGGAATTCCATAAGTAAGGTTGGACTCTCAGAGAGGAGAAAGTGGGTTGACTTCAGCGAGGACACGGCCCTCCGTCTCTCTTTTTCCTGGCAATATGCCTCGCTTTTCTTTATGCTTTGTGAGGTTTCTTGGATCTCCCGAAGCCCTTTACTAGCTCGTTACGTATACTTAACTCGCTCCCTTCCAACCTCTATCTATTCGAGTTTGGTCCTAAAGGTTTCTTATCTCCTACATTCGACTAGCAACCACGGCTAGATCTAATTAGTTCTGTTTAGTTCATCGATCGTCAATCTAAAGCTTCAATTTACGAAATGGGAGATCAAAAGCAGAGGCAGGAAACCCAGCCGATCGTTCGTTAGGTACAGAGAACAGAGATTCGTTTCACTATGTTACACTCATTTAGGGATTTTGTGAAAGGAGACAGACTTCAAGCTACTAATAAGATAAAGTATATAATGGTCTCGTGATTAGACGAAGAGATTACTCCATCATGCTTCTATATACGCAACCTCTGAGATACAAGGAAGATCCATGTCACACAAAAGCTTAGAGATACTCGTGAATGCAAGCTTCTGGAGTGGGATGAAATGCGTTGGATGGATAATCCTGCTTAGATTGTTGGCAAAGCCAGAATTACTCTTATTCATTGAGGGAATAGCCCGTTTCCTGAAGCAAGTCTCCCGGAAAACATATTCTATTTTCCGATCTTTTTTTCTCCTAGTCTGGAGATCTAACAGTTGATTAGGTCAGTACCGGAATGCCACTTGACCTTACCGAAGCGCGTTCAGGCCCTCGGTAGCCTATGAATAAGAGAATCTGAGGTTCAAATGTCTTTGTGCGTAGTTTGTTCATAGGCGATCGAGTTGGTGTCGACTCTATCCCCGAATTTATAAAAAGTAAGTCTTTCTCGTGTGAATGACTAGTTATAGTTAGGGCCGGTGTCACATGGAAAAGGAAAGAGGAATCTGTTGAAGTGAATGGTCCTTGCCCGGATGCTACCTCCATGCAAGGAATTTGGTAAACTAGTGTATCAAGATTTCCTTCTTCTCGCCCTCTGATACGTCCACCTACGATCAGGTTTGGAACCCTACCTATCTGACTTTCTTACTTAAGCGCCCTTGGTTCCAGGAGGTGAGGTACGAAGATTCCTCTTCGAATGAGTTGAACATAGTTCAACGAATCTCTGTCAACTCATTTGAAACGAATCTCTAGGTACGACCAACGTACGTAGTCGCTCGAAGAGGGGAGTCCCTCTCCCGTAGGTCGAATGAGTTTCACATAGTGAAACGAATTCTCTAGGGACTCCCTTTGGTCGTACCTCTCCCGTAGGTCGAATGAGTTTCACATAGTGAAACGAATCTTCAAAGCTACTTCGTTCCTTTGAGGTTTCCTCGCGTATGTCTAATTCGATTAATTACTCATTTTCGAGGAATCTGGTTGTGAATGACTTATTTTTCTCAATCTTGGTTCCGTAGGAGCAAAAATGAAATAGAACCATCTGATTTGATTCGTTCCATGAGATGATCATCTTAGGGCGATCCTTTTGTCGACGGATGCTCCTATTACACTCGTAGCCTCTGAAGGATGAGAACCAACATCGAGAATGAAAGTGTCATGAGTCCGATCCTTTGTAGGAACTAAACGAACTGATCCAAACATCTCAGAGATAGATAGAGAGGTAGGAATTTTTCGAACGTCGTATATCCATTGATGAAAAGGGGCTGGGGAAACCAGTGACGCAATTGAAATTCCCGGGGAGTTAGAAATTTGTGTATTGATAAGACCATTCACTATTTCTTGAAGCCCCCGGATGAACCATATAGCCAAGAGAAAGCATGAACCAGAATAGAAGAGCTTGCCCCACCCATGAGTCAATATTTCATAGTAGCCTCATTAGACCATACATCTTTCTTGGTATATCCAGATAATAGTCCGGAGCATAAACTGAAACATTCTGGAGCTACAAAGATAGTTATGAAATCGTTAGCACCGATTCTTTAATTAATACGAAGCCATTTCTGTACATTCAATGTATTCTACGGAAACAGAGATAGTGAAACGAACTTCGTACCTGTAACTAAGCGAAGCAACCCCCGGAGAGCAGATCAGAACGAAAACTCGTTTCCTCTAGAGCTATTTAACGAACGGTTAGCGCAAGTGATCGAATGAGGATATTCTATTCGCCTTGCCCTCGAAACCTGAAGCTTGGGCCTTAAACCCATTTTACAATCATGAGTCAGAGACTAGCCGGCCAGAGTTTTGTCTCCGGCTCTTAGAAAGAAGCGAAATCCAGCCGCCTGAAAGCATGAGAGCATCAGCACTCGGTGAGTGCCTTTTTTTCTTAGAGAATTAGAGAACAAGAGTTGGCTGTGAAGAATAATACAGAGTATGGCTTCATATCCCAATCATTCTTTTTATAAAATGACCAACAACCTCCTTCCGTTAACGACCGCTTCTAGTATCGGAAATATTTTATGGATTCAAATTCCATTAGCCTTTTATCTTATCGTGGAGTGTTCCCCTCGTTGGTTATTGGATTTGGATCGAAGGAGTTGTTAGGGAAGCAGGGCCGGCATCAAATTACGCTTCGCCGAGCAGAGGCAGAAATATTTGCCTTTCTGCCTTAGACATTCAGTGTCCCTTTACTTTACGTACCGTTCCCGGATTGAACAAGAAAGAAACTACTACTACCTAAGCGAAGACAGTAGATTCAACCATCCGCCTAGATCGGAAAGAGTACGCTCTAAGAACAGCTTTTCCCGTTCTGACCGACTCCCCTTTCAGATTGATTTAGTTAGCCGTAGATCCCACTCCCTACCCCTTTCGACGCAGCAGGGACGGATTCATCTGTTTCCCACTTTACAATGATCTGGCGAATGACCCCTCTCCCCTCTCCCGTAGGTCGAATGAGTTTCACATAGTGAAACGAATTCTCTAGGGACTCCCTTTGGTCGTACCTCTCCCGTAGGTCGAATGAGTTGAACTATGTTCAACTCATTTGAAACGAATAGTTCCAGCAACAACAAAAGCTGCAAAAAATACCGCAGCGATACTACTGGAAAGGACGGTTTCAATATTTCCCATACGTAATCCTTTGTATAGACGTTGGGGCGGGCGAACACTAAGATGAAATAGACCCGCTAATCCCTGCATGTTCACCCTTTACTCTTCCATAAGGATCGGACACCCAACCATACAATCCGGTTACATGAAAACCCCTGAGAGAAAGAAATGAATTCCAAAGAAGGTTTTAAAGAAAGAAAGACAAGCCAGAAAACACAATATGCGCCCCAGCCACACCTTCATAACTCCAAATACCCGGATTGATATTCCAACCTTTATTCCTAAACGAGGTATAACGAACATACCTTGTCTCCACATTGGATGGACGGAACCAAAGCTGTATGCAAACGACCGGGATCATTCAATACGAAACAAGGCAAACCACACTATGTAACTTTATTGCACTGGAAAAACTATGTCCCCCTTTCAATGGTTCCTATTTTTTTAGTAATAATGAAAGAATTCTCTTTCTCGATGGAGCCGGCCTTAGGAATTTCGTATAGTATAGCATAGAAAGGGCAGCTGGAAGGAATCGGATCTTGTCTCTTTGAATCTGCTCTTAAGAAGGAATAAAAATGAACTATCTCTTTAGGTAGCGAAGTGCCTCCCCATTCGTGAAGGGGAGTCCTTGCTTTCTTCCCATAGCAGCTGGGAGTAGCCAACCCAGTCAGCCAGTCCAGTAGCAAGGTGTTAAATTCCTGCAAACCAACGGTTGCTAACTTTCTTTCAAATAAGATCTGTCCCAGCGGTCAGTCTCATCGGCTGGCATTCTTCTTTCTTTAAACCAAGACCCTACTAGCTCATCGAACCCCTAATGGCTATGAGCGGGAACCCTGATTAGCTTATAGTAGCATTAGACTTCTACCGGTACCGGGAAAACTATTAGACTAGATCGATTAGCAGTAGTTGGTCTTGGTACTTCAACCGGTGCTCCACCTTCATAAGAAAGAAGGACATGGATTTTCGTCACGTCAGTGGTAGCGCAGACCTTATACGTTACGTGACAAGTCTGGTGTTCTAACCTCAAATCTGGGGAACTATACCAAGTTCACGCTACAGAGTGGGAAGAAGGAGATGTAAAAACCTTGCTTATCCTTGAATCGAGATTAGGTCGGCTATCCCCATTACTATTATATAATATATAAATACCGTACTCGCTCACTTATATCATTCCAAGTTCCCCCCTATTTGTTAGGCTAACGGGAGCTATGAAATATGAAAACGAAAACATAAGATTCAATCTCCGCGGAATGGACAAAGGGTAAAATACAGTATGGCCAATTGAATACTTAAATTCGATCTTGCCTGGACCCAGTTCCACGGCAGTAGCTTAACGGACTCCATCAAACCTTGCCTGCATCGCATTGTGGAAGCTTGTTCACTCGAGACTGTAACATTCTTTTGGGCAAGTCTGATCTCTAAAGAAAGCAAGAACTCCCGTGGGATTGATATTGGGCATTGGCCGCAGAGAAGAGGGTTAATGTCATTCAGAGACTTCGTACCTCTTCGAATGAGTTTCACTATTCGTTGACAGAGAACAGAGAACAGAGATTCGTTTCACTATGTTACACTCATTTCGTTTCAAACGTTGAACTATGTTCAACAACGAACAACGAATAGTGAAACGAATCTTCAGAGTGACTTCGTACCTTTCACTTCGTTCCTCCGAAGCCTAAGTGAATTCCATCTTCATACCCGAAATGCATCTGAATCGAAGTGTAGGAAATCCAGTTCCAGCATCATCCTAAGGCTTTGTCTCTTCCAGACGTTTTCGGTTGCTACATGATCGAATCTCGTTTTCTAACAAAATTTTTGAATAGAAATTCGTCTATGGCCGCGGTTAGTTGGACTTCTAAACAAAGTTCGTTCAGCTACTGCTGTTGGCTAAACTAAAGAGCGATGTATAGCGATCTACTTATCATCCCTTTCATCCCTTATCCCGATGGGTGTGGTTAATCATAAAAGATCAGATAGTTGGTTCAATACTGGTTTGTATCTCAAATCAGCCAGTACGGAGGCGCTACCCAGAACGACTTTCATTGACATATGATTAGGTGTAGAGACGACAAGGCTGACCATTTTCTCTTTCGAGCAACTTCGTACCTCTCCCATAGGTCGAGTGACTCCCTTTGGTCGTACCTCTCCCATAGGTCGAGTGACTCC